TCTCTCTCTCTCTCTCTCTCTCTCTCTCTCTCTCTCTCTCTCTCTCTCTATCCGATCGGCCTCAGGCGGTCGAGAAAGGGGACAAAGTGTGTATGACCGGCGATTTGATAGATCCCCTACGAGACTCGCGAGCGCGCCGCGCTAATTAGATTGTATTATTATTCATCCGAGAGAAGCGCGAACGCGGAGGAGGATTTATCACTCGCGTGCGCACATTTTCTACACGGAAGAAATATTGCAGTTTGCGTAACTGAGTAGACGAAAAACTCCATGACGAGAAATAGTATCTCCGTTACCGCGACCGAAAACATTTGCATCTGAATATTCAGCTCGGAATATTAAAACTCGGTTGCAGTAACTGAGAATAATTGACCGATGAGTAAGAAATCTACAGGAATCTTTTTCTGTTCTTACAACCGATTTTTTCGTCTGGTTTCCAGGTAACCGAAAATTCAGTTGCATCAACGAAATTGTGTTTTCCGTGTATCTATACGACGTTTCGTCTCAAGAGGCAACAAAGCATGACTAGACACGCGCCGCCGGCACAAATTGACGCGAATTAAGCGCTAAGGATCAAACTTATGCTCGATTTGGCCTTTTAGCCGAAGCGTCGGCTAAATCGCCCGTTGTCGTCGTCGTCGCCTGGTCTTTCTCTCGCTACGGCACGCAAAATTTATGCTGTCTCTCAATTCAACTCACGTTCCCTTTCCACGATCGGTCTCACGATCGTACTACTCTATCCGCTGACTCGCCGGCTTTTTTCACCTTGGCATTTTATTACCATGTCGACGATGACGACGACGACGGTGACGACGAAGCCGCGTTTACGCATTTGCGCATTTGCATGCCTAGATATCTGTATAAAAAGGTCCATGTGCAAACGGGCGAACGTGCGGAGAGAAAATGAATTTCAATAACACGCGGATCAAATCGTGGAGATGTGAAAGGCGCGAGCAGGAAACTCTGATGTGACCGTGATGATTGCTGACCCATCACATTACCGTTTCGCGTGGCTTCTGTTGGTTCGGGCGAAATGTACGGTAGCTAAGACATCCGCGCAGAAAATATTACGTCCAGCAACGCCGGACGAGTGCAAGCCGAGACACTTTTCTCGCGGCTTGCAAAATCGTTCTCTTTGTCCCTCTCTCTTTCTCTCTTTTCATTATCATATGAAAGCCATATAATAGCCATTAAATTTAAATTAAGTGTGTTTACGTTTTTGTGGCAGCGTCTTAGACAAAGTGGGCGTTATAGAACTCATCGTAATGATATAAATAGGACAGTTAATTAGTTCTGCGCGAAAGAAACAGCACACGCGGAGAGAATGTTACAATAAAAATTATTGCAAGATTTTTTTTCTAGCCGAGGAATAAATTGACATTCTGCAATGATTATTTTTTTATTTCATATTTAGTACACATAAAATGTAAAAATTGTATCTTACACTGAGAAAAATATTTGATTTTTGTAACTATATATATAATCACATAAAGAAATAATTACTATAAATCATGGTCAATGAAATTATTTTTTTTGTCTTAAATTCTATTATAATCTTAGCGATAATAAACTTATGTCACTACTACTATTTTCGTGTTAAGACAACTGAAAAATGTGGCTGGCTAAAAATAACTTTCCTTCCACTATCATATTATATAATATTATATAAAAAGTAATATTAGAATTTAATAGCACTAAGACATCCGTGCTGTACTCCTTATTTGCCTCTTCAGTTCTTACTGTTTAGTTATTCTAAAAAGGAGCTTTCTATAATTTCTGTTTAAAAATAACTTTAGTTGAAAATAATTAGATTAAAAATAATTTTAGTTTGGTCAACTATTCGTTTCTCTCAGTGCAGGAATTGAAATGTATAAAAACATTCGCTATATTTCTAGCGAAATTTACCGTATTTCTTAACAATACAAACCTTACTGACAGTCTATTCCTAAGCAATAAAAAACAGAATGAAATTGAAAAGAATTTATATAAAAAAATATAATATCTTCTCCGTTATGTTGGCTTAAACATAAATCAATAGTTGTATCAATTAAAGATTCGATAGTAAAGTACAGAACTAATTATGTGGTTGTAATCACAGAACAATTGCTGAGTTACAGTGACAATATCTGGTTGCTTCAATCAAAATGTATTCCATAGTGAATGTCACCCCAACCGATTTCTGGTTGCCATAACTAGATCATGCACAACTACATCACTGTACCAAAGTAACTAAACTCGGTTACACCAACGTTATTTTGGTTTTAAATGATACTTAAATATACGTCTGTCTTTATTTATTTAAAAAGAAAGATAAAGATAGATGTATGTTTAAACTTCGCTTAAAGGCAAAATAATGTTGGTGCAACCACGCCTAAAAGTCGTATTAACCATACCATAATACATTACCATCACACACAAGTTGACTAGAGGGTGATGCAACTAAATATTCTGATTCTGCGTATCTTTTTTTTCCGCGTGCGATTGTGTTTGCTGATAAGAACAGTCGTCGATGAACGAAAACGCACGTGCCAATGGCATGGCCGGCGTCGACGCTCTTGGTCCCGGTAGGAAAAAGGGATCCGCTGGTAATTTACGTTCAGGATACGAGCTCGGCGCGTAGCGGTTCGCAGTAACCTAGTTCTCAGCTCCGACGCCGCCGTCCACACGTCCAGCACCTATCGTCGGTGAACGCACTCGGTTACGTGGTATCCCGTTTCTCGCATCGAGGAGAGCATCGATGATATCTGGCATTGTTCGCAGACACGCTAGCACAATTCCCTACCTGGCTTCGGCGAAACGCTTCGACCGTCGGGGAACAAGTATCGAAGAGAGAGTTATTGTTACCTGAGCCGCGTCAATCGAACGTTCTCCGTCCGGTTTTTCTTCACGGCTACTAGACGCTACTGAAGTCTTTCTCAGTCTTCTCTTTAGATTCACTAATACGGCGAGGCAAGTGCACAATTGCATTGGCTCTCTCACTTGCTTCGCTGTACTATTAATTGTACCTCGGCAGACCTTCTCCGGGTAATTTCTCCTTGAGCCACCTTGTATACAGGTTGTAGGCCTGAAAAGACAGGTGCTAATTAGTAGTAATTGTTGTCGCGCGTTACGTACGCTGTTACGTGACGAGAAAAGCGTACGAAATTGCGGCCGGCGTTCGTATATTTAAGAAGAAACGCGCGCGTGTGCAAGAGAGAGAGAGAGAGAGAGAGAAACGTACTTGCGAACTAAAATTAAATTAACCAACTGACAGAAACACTTCTCACTGATTCACCGCGAGGGGTGGAGCTATTATTTGGAGATGGGCCAAGGGCAACGGACTCCACGCCGTGGTTGCGTCTCGGGTCGAAAGGTTCTGACTGGCCTTGAAAAAAAAACAAAAAGAAGTAACTACCTTCGAACTACGCCCACCCATTAATCCTCTACTCGTATAATGGAGCGGTAATTAAGCCTGCTACTATGGAGAGCGTCGTTATCTATCGCCGGGTGTCACGCGCATTCGCGAGACCGCCTCTCTCCGCACGACACATTCGACAGAAATCTCGCGAAACTACGGCGCCGTAGTTCAGGATATATACGCGTCTATTTTATCTCGCATAAGAAGGCATTTACATTTTTACGATCGTCTTCGAATAAGAAGTGATCCTTCGCTCACTCTCACCTCTCTATCGATTGCAGAACGTAGGGGAGAGTCGGATACCTGTTCCACGGCCAGCTCGTCCGTCGTTCTTCCCGAAATCGAGAGTACTCGAGGCGTCGAGGCTCTTGTCGGGAGGTCGCCGATCTACGATTTTCTCGGGATGCTTTCAGTTCGTTAACACCGAGGACGAGCCCGCTGCTCCGAGAGAGAAGTTCGCGGGATTTGTATCGTCGACGCCTAACATCAAGAGTAACTTACGCACATTTCTATTCATTTGGTTGGCCGGGGAGTTTGCTTCGATTTTTTTGCTGATCTCTGCGATAAAGGATATACGAATATTCTGAACGTTGGTGAAGTAATCGTAGAAAACGATCGCGATTACTCGACTGTCGAGTGAATTAACTCCATTGGATACATTAAAAACAAACTTTGCCAAAAAATCGAAACGAACTCCCGGACAATAATTATCACGCCCAAATACAGTTTAATAAGTGCGACAACAATCCTGTGTTTCAGCCGATACGACGGATCAGACGTACTCGATATCACCCGTGTGGGACATAGACAAGAACGATGTGCAACAATTGGTACAACTCAGTGAAGAGAAGAGCAGCCTGTTTAGGTAGGAGTTATATACGTTCGCCGATAAATGTCACAGCAGATTTATCCATGAGCTTCACCTTGTGTATGTTTCCTTGTTACGATGATCTAGGTTACTCGAGGATTCTCAGCTGAGTATGATCGAGGATGTCGGCGACAGCTGCCTCGTAGAAAACAGCTTGGCCAATTACAATGAGACGAACGCGACGCCGCATTATTTGATGCTCAACAAACAGAACTCCTTCGAACACGATGAGAGCTTAGGCATCTTGACCCCGGACCAGATGACTGATTTTACGGTCGCGCTCGAGTGCTCCAGGACACCATCCTGCGAGAATCTCACCGGCTCGGCCGGCTCGAAACTGGCGTTGACGCGAGCGTCCGCTTCAAGACCACTAGCGGAGGAGGGTTGCAGCGAGAGAACACCTTCCCCGGAGGAACTGCCGCTCGATCCCAAACCAGTGGAGCCGATTCGAGGTAATACAGTGCCCGTGAGCTTTGTCACATCGGTCACGAGCATCACGAGCCTCGAAGCGGGCTATCAGGGCGACGGCGAGAACTCGAGGCCAGCTAGTCGCGGCGCGGATCCACCGTCCATAGTGCCGGCGGTCAATTTGCCCGCGCCGTGCCGCCAAGACCCGATGACCGACTCGGACTTCTTCACCGAGAGCGACGCGGACGCTCACGAAGAAATAGTGCGAGGCGATAGGAAGGCACAAGTGATCGACGGCACGTTATTCTGCGCTCCGGGCGAACGCAGATGCCCAAGCTTCACCGGTGAGGAGATGGACTCGAGCGGCATTTACTCAGACTTGGACAAGCTTCAGGCGCCGGAACAAGCGCCGGAAGAGAACGACGATCATACACCCGACACCGGCGACACCGAGCTTTCTCCGAGGAGTCAACCGTCGCCGGTCGCGGCGAATGTCATCATGGATTATTTGCAGGTAAGTTGACAGGCGAGAACGGGACTCGGCTCATTATGTATGCGAGGGTTTTTTCTCCGTGGTTCGTTGTTATGTAAACACTCTGCCATGTAGATTCCTACCAAGACTACGGACGAGACTAACGGCTTGAACGACACGAGTTCCGCCGAAGTCCCGGTGATCAAAACAGTGGAGAATAACGAGAATATTCGACCTAAAACACCAAGTAAGGCTGATTCGGTGCCTTTAAAAAAGTATAAGATGCCAAAAAAGAACGTCGTCTCGAAAATCAAGGCGATGATCGAGTCGTCTGCGAAGGACGACGCGGAAAAAGAGGCGAGACGTTCTCAAAGATCGATCAGGAAAGGTGGACGTTGGGACGCGGTCATGAACAAGATAGAGGCTGGCAAAAATGAGCAGAGAACGAGATCAGCTAGGAAAGACGTCAAGTCAAGGGTGCTGCAAAATCTAGCGCTGTCGCCGTCCACGAGACCAACATTGAAGAAAGTCGGCGACACGAATAACTACAACAATAACAATAAGGACAAACGGTAAGCTCCAGACGAAACTCATGCTAATGTAAGCAACCTGAAAATATTCATTCTGTCGGTCATTTTGTACGAATCGTAATTTATATTTTATACGCATAAGATCTACGTTTCTTTTTTCTTTGTCCTAAACCATGTTGGAAATATTTCTGGATCTTAGGAGGATGCGTGGCTGGCAAGAGATGAAGTCACCGACGCAGGAGACTGCCAGGAGTTCTGTTCGCAGTTCTATGAGCGATCTCAGCAGTGGCCCGAGCAAGGACATGCCAAGTAAGTGTAGCATCAGTATTCATACTTGATAAAATTGGTGAAACATGCCAAGTTACACGCAGACGAGCACGTTTTACGAAATGAATCTGTACGTAGCTACAGACTATAACAAGCAGGAGAGTTAGTAAAACAAAGTTTTTCTACGTATAACTTGACACGTTGTCACTAAAAGTTTCCTCTTTCATTCTATTTCACATACATCAGCTGTATTGATATTCAATGCTTGGCGTGATGTTAGATAACACTAATTAGTTCACAATATTTACGTTACACAGGCGGTGTCATAAATTATTTAAAAGCGGCTTTAGCACAATTGGAAATGGATCAGAAATGCAAAATTGAAGGGACCCATCTCGACATTTCTCATTGCGAAACGATAAAGCTTAATCGATACAGCTCTCGACGTGGGATTTTCCAATTAATTCGGGGTATAGTTCCTAAAAATCGGTGATTGATTTTGACGATCGGAGGAATAGACAACCGCGCAGAAGAGAGAGGGAGAGGCAGAAAGAAAAAAAAAAAAAAAAGAAAGAGATAGATCGCTAATCCTTTTGCGTATGGTATTACCTACCGGAGAGAAAGACGAGGTCTCTTTATCGACTCGCGGCACTCGAGCGGCAGCAAAGTCAGCCGTCGAGAAACGCCGAGGAACTTATTACCCCTTTTATCGGCGCCGTCGAGAGACACGGCGCCTCGTTTCACTTCCATTGTGTGCATACATGAAGGAAGGCTGCGTCGCGCGGCAGCGCGCAGCTTCGCCGTAGTCTCGCATCCAGCCAGCATCCAGTCGGCAATTCTCGGCGAATCTCGCGCTGAATCGTGCTCTCTTTCTCTCTCTTTCTCTATATATACATACATATATACGTGCACGCGCATGTACCTACGATGCACTCGCCGTCTCTCGTTGGTCTTTCTCTCGCGGAACGCACGCCTACATCCTCGCCCGTTCGCCTCGCTCCCGCGATATCGGGTCACCGGTGTGTGGTGTACCGGTGTGCACGGCGAATGCGTAACGCGTAGTGCGTAAAAGGGTGACCTGCGTGCGCGAGGAAGGGTGAGAAGGGAGCTGCTGACAGCCGACGCATACGCCGCTGCTGTCAGTGGGTAGATCGGAGCGGAATAGCAGCGTACGGCACGTCCAGGCGGTGGCCTGGACCTGAACATTGATTCCTCTCGTGTCGAGTCTCGACCTGGTGCGTCATATCTATCGAGCTGCTGCTTACCGCGATTACATCGGGAATTCTCCGGAGCCGTTCCGACGCGAACGCGCGCACACACACAAGAGAGAAACACTCGTCTCATTTCGACGTGACCTATTTTCCGTCGCGTTCCTTGTACCCTTCGCCGTCGCCGCCGCCGCCGCCGCCGCCGCCGCCGCTGCTGCTGCTGCTGTGCGCGCGCGTCGTGGTGCACGGCGAGAAACGACACGTGCGAATTACGTGCGCGGGCGGGCATGACGTTGCTGCGAGCGGATCGTTTATCTCGGGAAGCGGTCGAGTGAGTGCTGCGCCCCTTCTTCGAGTATCCGTTAGTCCCCCGGTTTTATGTTTTCCTTTCTCTCTGCTTGCGCGCAGAACTTCGGTCTCACTTCGGGAGACACTTTTTCATGAAGTGGCGTGTACGTGCAAGTGGCTCAATAAACCGGACTGCAGAGAACTCGGTTAAATCCACGGACAGTCGGATTACCGGTTTACCGGTCGTTCGTTATCACTCTATCGCCGAGGTACAACGTCCGCATCGGTCGTCGTTCCGTCACGCTTCCGTTGGCGTGACTCCCCGAGAGCGCGAACGGTGATTTGCCCGCGATTGACAGCGTACGCGCGGCGTATAACTTGCGTCCTAAAGGTGTCCACGCGTCTCGTGTTAACGGCACCTCGGCGACGGCTCGGCAGCTGGTGTTGCCGCTCGCTACTTGCCTGCCTGCCTGCCTGCCTGCCTGCCTGCCTGCCTGCCTGGCTGCCTGCACGGGTCAACGCCATTCGCGGTTTATTTCCGGCCTTAGTGTGGGCTCTCGTCGTGCTTTCTTTGCACCTCGCTTGCACCGCTATGCGTCGCACACCTCCGTCGCTCGGCAACGATGCCTCCTCCTCACCCGCGCCCCCACCATCGTCAACACCAACACCAGCCTCTTCGCAGGCAGGTGTACCCGACACGACCACGTGCGTTGCCAAGGTCGACGACTATCGATACGCGCCCGGCACCTCGATCCACCCCGCGCCTTACGCAATCGCCGTCGAGATCGGCTGCCGCTAAGGCCACACGCTCGCCGGTGCCGACGAGGAACGTCGCGTCGACGGAGTGCGCGTGGCGGAGGGTCGAATGACCGAGCGAGAGATCGCGCGCGCCTCTCGACCGTGAGAGCGATTCACTCCAGGTACCAGCGCTACTGATCCTCCGCGGCAGGTCTTCGCGACGCGCGCGCCAGCTCGTTATTAATCGCCGACATGTGATCGTATGTGATATAACGATACGTGGTACAGTTCCTACCGAGCGGCGTCGGGTGTCGCGTCCGGATACGTGATACGTGTGATACTCGGGATCGCTGTAATGTATAATTCGCGATAGTCAACGATAGAGCGCGGCGAAGCTCTCGTGTCTCCAAGACACGATCGCGTCGTGATTTGATCGCCAGTGCTCGCAAAGCTGGAAGAGATGCCCGTTGTTGTTGTGGACGTTGTGCCTCGCGCCGGAGAACGTCGTCGCGAGAACGTACGTCGGCCGATTCTCACGCTCGGCCCGCAAGACACGACAGGATGAGGGCACACGCAGTCGCGTTCTGGGAGGATCACGGGCGATACTACTTCACGCGAGGGATTACAATGGAGAGACGTTGAGAGAACAGGCATTCGCAGTCTCGTGTCGTCATGGGTCAACAAGGATCGAAGGAGAGACCGCTGCCGAGAAGAGCGGACTTTGTCCGAGACTCGGCGAAGATGCGTCTAGGCAGTTTCAAACGAGGTAGAAGGGAGTGAATGAACGGTGGCCGTATAACGGTGCTTCCGGCTTGCCGCGATGGTCGGTCCGCCGCCGCCGCCGCCGCCGCCGCCGCCGATAACGACGACGACGACGACGACGACGACGACGACGACCACCGATTCCATCCGCTCTTACCTTAATCCGGTTAATCGTTCGATCCTATTTGCCGGGGAATTCAGCGCAGCCTTTCTCGCACAGACCAGTTTTTCTCTCTTTCTTTCTCTTTGTCTCTCTATCTCTTTCTCTCTCTCTCTCTCTTTTTCTCTCTTTCTCTCAAGATTGACCCTTTCACTGTCTCACCACGCGATATCTTCGTGATATTTTCAGAGAGATCACCGACGTCCGCGAACCCACCCAGAAGATTTGTCTCGAACAGCCACGCCAATCACCAGGTCCGTTTGAATAATTACGACGCGAAAAAGAACTGCATCGATGTGACGCCGGTCGTACTCGGTAAATATATGTCATGTACTTGACAGCGCCAAGGCTTAACGTGCCATCAAAGTCGTTAGATGACTACACACCCTGACGCATGTAACATTTGTGATAATCAGGGAAGAGGGGAGAGAGTGAGGAGAGATAGGAACGAGGGCACCGTCGCGTACTTCCGGTTGGAGTTCTACTGCCATAACGATGAGCGACGTGATGAACAGAAAGAGAGAGACCGAGAAGGGGGGAATATATATGTATAGAAAAGGAGAGAGAGAGAGAGAGAGAGAGAGAGAGAGAGAGAGAGAGAGAGAGAGA